TCCTACACATTTCAATTATAACTATTATAAATGTATAGTTGTCCTTACTTCCCCAGAGACACCCTATAGCCAAACAATTCATTTAGAAAGTTACTTGCGTCATTTTTGTCAAGTGCAGCCTAACATGGTTTCACAGTTTAATTCTTCCAACAGCTTATAAAGCATGGTATTTAATGGAAGCTATTTAGATTAAATGCTGCAGACGAACTATAAAGGTGGCTCTTCTCCTGAGATAATTACCCTCACATGTTCAGTTCATTAGCCTTTGCACTTTCTGCTAACCTACACAGGCACTGAATTCAGAGCAGGGAAGATTAGAGAGAGGAAGTCATCTCGTCCCTATTAGCTCTTCACCCCATCTCCAGAATCAGAAGGATTATTGTTTTTACTATTTATTTTGCAGGTAAGTTTCTCTTAAATCACTATTTCCAAAAAACTCCATCTACACATATACACTCTTCCATGTTGTGATCGAGACGCCTCTTTCCTTAATTCCAGGATGATAGATATAATTTACTGGCATGTCGAAGGAGTCAGGCAAGAGTGCTCAAGCTGACCGCTGTCCACCGCTGAAAGTACCTACAGTGGCCACATGTTAGAGTGTTAGAACTGCACCTTGGATCTATGGAAGAAGGCTGCCTGGTCCGACGTATCACGGTGTTTCGTGTGTTATGTGATCAGCAAGTCTAGGACTACGCGGCCCCAAATGGAGCAGGGCTCCCGGCTCTGTGTGTTGTGACTCGATGCTCAGTAACTATCGTTAAAATTATCTGTGATTTGTACCATAGTAGCCCTTATGTTGGTTCGTACCACACAGGACAGCCTTTGTTCAATTACGCATCAACAAGCCTTAGCCGCCTAACACCCTGTAAAAGGTTCACGGATTTTCCCTCCTCCTCCGATCGATCGCTCTCACCACGGCTGGCCCTGGGTGCTGCACACGCCTCGCTGTTTCAGAGCCGCTCTCACCCAGTCATCAGAGACCATAACGATTTAGCTTTCATCCATGTTACTCAGGCCCATTTCCTCTGCATTCAACACATTCACTTTGAGAACCGAATGTTCACTTACCGTCTAATATATTGCAAACCGCGACATGTTTCACTCTTATAAAACCCTCAAGGTTATTCGCTTCATATGGGAGCAGTCACAATGTTTGGTTAATCAGTGTGGAAAGTGGAAATACAAACGCTCCCTGGGTTACAATGGTCCATGTTGCGATATTTCGACTTTACGATGGGTTTTTCCACTTTCAACACATTATTTAATAAATTACATGAGATATTCAAAACTTAATTATAAAATAAGCTTTGTGTTAATGATTTGGCCCAACGGTTGGCCAATGTAAGTGTTTTGAGAATGTTGAAGGTAGGCTAGGCTATGATGATAGTAAGGTTAGGTGTATTGCATTAAAATATGTCTTTGCCTTACGATATTTTCATCTTATTATAGGTTTATCGGAATGTAACTCCAGCATAACCTGGGGAGCTTCTGTAGCTATAAACATGTTCTTTGATGGCGTAAGACTTTTGCACAGTACTGTAGATGACTAACAGACAAACAGGCAGACAGACTGATGGACTGACTGACTGATTGATGGCTGCTGCATGTCACAAAATTTCTAAGTCAGTAAATGTGAACATAATCATTTCTAAGCCAGGTAATGGTGGCGTAAAAATTACCTGCTTCCCTCGACTCGGACACTGTGCCCCCCCAGCGCCTGGTGATGTCGATGTACAGGATGTCGATGGCCGCCATGGACAGACTGCTGTTAGTGAGCTTGCAGTTTCTGGGAAGCAAGCAGAAGAGATGCACACAGCCGCTGACTGGTTAACAGAGACCCCCACAGCGAGTACCGTGCTGCACTGCAGGAGACAGCCTGAGGAACACAGGCTGATGTCTCACTCGCGCCAGTCTCCAGGCAGTCCCACTATTGATGAAAATCCCAAGCAAGCCACGTCCCTATCCCTTTAATGTATCCTGCCCTTTAATGTATCCTGCCCTTTAATGTCTGACATATTTGCCACGGTGGGCTGACCGAGCAGCGGCGAGCAATTAGAGAGCTTACATGGCGCGAAAGACGGCTCATGGAGGAAGCAGCACAGGGGTGACAGAGTGGCAAAATGGCCACGGGGAGCAAGACAGGGTCACTTGGGGACACTGTAAATGGGCACAGTTATATAGGTCCCAGCTACCTAATGAAGGTGCGGAAGCCGGTTGGACCCAGGCGCATGGTCCCCTTGACGCCCAGGAAGCGCACAAAGAGAGCAGCCATACGTTCCACCAAGCGCAGGTAGTTGAACTGCTTGGTGTACTTGGGGAAGACCTGCTTCAGGCAGAGCGACGGCAGGCCACTCTCCACTCCCGGCCGCTTGGGCGATTCTGCCTCAGGGACGTCCTTCTGCAGCTCGCCACCACCTTCGCCTGGCAGGAGAGATCTGTTACCATGAAACAGGACAGAAGGGAAACATGTAAAGCACATGGCTGCAATTTAGAGAAGCTCACAGACAGAAGGCTCCACTGGGCCCTATTCTGCTGCAAGTGCAAGATACCTGAAAATTAAACGATCTCTTGGAAAATTAATATTTTTCAGCATTTTATGCAGGTATAGGTATATTCTGTTTTTCTTATTTATTTATAATTAACACTATATATATATATATATGATATTTTTTTTTCCCCCTAATTCCCATAAATTAAGAGTTTGACCCTGAATATGTGGGACACATTTTGTTTTAAAAAACAAGTTTTATTCAAGCTGCATTATACTTAGCAAATTAATTCAATATTACAGCCTGAACGAAGACATTTCACTTCAGTAAGTGTTGACAGCCTCCGGCCTGCTATATGTAGAAAAAAAATCTATCATTGCACAAGTAAATAAGCTGCAGAAGAAAGAAAGTAAACTCTCTGACTGGAAAATTATCTAATTAGTGTAGAGCAAATGAAGACATCCTGGATGTTTGGGATAGTCTTTTGTAATCAAAGAACATACTTAAATTCTGCAGAAACATAAATAAAAAAAAACACGAAATCAAATTTTATGACTTGGACTGTGTAAATTAGGACTTTGCTGTCTTGTTCATTGGACCTCCACTGCCGGCCCCTGGAAGATGGGCTCCCCCTCTGAGTTTGGTTCCTTCGAAGGTTTCTTCCCACAAGAGAGTTTATCCTTGCCACTGTCGCCTCTGACTTGCTCACTGGGAGCATTGGGCAGGAATAACGTAAAGCACAATGTATTGTTGTGAAAACGCACTATACAAATAAATATGACCTGGACCGGCCCAGACCGAATGTAATGTAATTGAATGTAACTGAATGTGAATTGAACTGAACTGAAAGGAACTTGAATTAAATTGAATGGACTTGAATTGAATTGAACTGAATTGAATAAAAATAAGTAGGAAGGAGTTCTAATTTTGAGTAGTAATTTTTGGGGCCTATTTCCTCCCAAAGCACATATTCCCCTGAGAGAAATTTCATGGTGGCAGCATGAAGGAGGCATTCAAACATGATTACAGTCGGCCCTTTTCTTCTGCTGGCTATGAGCAGAACAGCAGGAGTACAAGCCTCTGCCCCACATTTTAATCCCATGTCATAATTAAGGTTCCTGCCCACTCCCCAGAGACCATGCACTGCCCTGTGTGTTTTATATCCATTTTGAACCTTTGAGCAGAACCACTACAATCAGTATCAGTGCGAAAAAACAATTCCAGACCTCATGGGAGGAAGTGAAAGACGAAAAAGACGAAATCACAGAGACGTGTATTTAACTGAAATGACCAGGACCTGCTGATGTTCTGAGATTCTTAACTCCCATAGTAGCTCCAGGCCAGATGGATACCCAGCCTAAGAGATTGTGGGCCAGGAGAAGGGAAATTGTAGTGGGAGGGGGGAACGGTTCAAGGAGAGAGAAAAGCAATTATTTTTAAATTATGTAAAACGGATGCAATCAGATGCACATGAGCCTTTATTTCAATTGGTCCTAAAGGCACTAATGGGAGGAATGTTGGCATGTGGCATACTGCAAATACTATAACACACTGGCACACTGCAAATACTATAACACACTGGCACACTGCAAATACTATAACACACTGGCACACTACAAATACTATAAAAAACTGGCACACTGAACACTGTAAATCATGGCACAAAACAGATGCATAACCTTATTCTATTTCAATTATCCATAAGCACTTTAAATAGGACCTTTCACATTCATGTATTCTTGTACACCATTCATGTACTATATGTACTAAATTAATCTCCCGTGCAAAGTACTAAATCAATCAAATCAATTAATCATACTACGTTACTTTATTATTATTACATTCCCAAACCCTTTAATCTAGACCACTGTTTCCCGAACCACATGAGGATCCACATTTTTGTTTTATCACAGTTCCCAGAAGACCTGTCCTAAGCAATCAGAAGATCTAAATACCTTACAGGTATGCTGGGAACTGGGATAAAGCAAAAATGTGGATCCATCCAGTGTGCCCCGAGGACTGGTTTGGGAAACACTGATCTAGATTTTACAACCATATCCACTTAGAGGTCCAGACATTTAACATAAGTAATTCAGGCTACAAAATTCAGCCAGAAATTCCATACTACATATGTAATTGTACCGAAATACGCCAATGAAACAGTCAAAGGTCAAGATTTAAGTGGAAGACAAAAAGTAAGACTTTTTGCTGCTTTCAGAGGTATTTTGTCTATATTAATAAAAACTTTCTCACAGTATAGAATCGTAAAACCGAACCAATATGCTGGAATGAGACCAACTAGATGATACTGGAGCCAAGAACAATGCAGTTTATATGTTATAACAGCTGCCGCTCTTCTGGGACGGCTTTCCACGACATTTTGGAGTGTGTGTCGGAATATTTGCCCATGTGAGGGCAGGTACTGATGTTGGATGTGAAGGCCTGGCTCACAATCTCCATTCTAGTTCATCCCAAAGTTGTTTGATGGGGTTGAGGTCAGGGCTCTGTGTGGGCCAATCAGGTTCTTCCACACCAAAGACACCCGATCATGTCTTTATGGACCCTGTTTTGTGCACTGAGCCACAAGTTGTTCCCAGAAAGTTGGAAGCATAGAATTTTCCAAAATGTCTTGGTATGCTGAAGCATTAAGAGTTCCCTTCACTGGAACTAAGAGGCCTAGCCCAACACCTGAAAATCAGCCCCATACCACTATTCTCCCTAGACCAAATTTTACAATTGGCACAATGAACTCTGCAGTTGTTGAGTCAACAGAGTGTTGGCAACTTTTACACACTATGCGTTGTCACTCTGCATGATCTGCCACTTCGTGGCTGAGTTTCTATTGTTCCTAAACACTTCCACTTTGCAATAAAACTACTTAGAGTTGACCATGGAATATTCAACAAGGAAGAAATTTCACAAACTGACTTATTGCAAAGGCATCATATGGCAGTACCATTCTTAAATTTACTGAGCTCTTCAAAATAACCCATTCTTTCACAATTGTTTGTAAATCCAACTGCATGGCTAGGTGCTTGATTTTATACACTTGTGGCAATGGGTCTGAATGACTACATCTGAATTCAATGATTAAAAGGTGTGTCCCAATACTTTTGTCCATATAGTGCATGTCAGCAAATTTAAGCAGTTGAATTTTATTGCAATAAATTCCAAGATCAGTGCAAGGTCTGTTTAGGTAAACTGACAAAGAAAAGATGAAGAATAGCTTGTTCCTGATACCAAGACAGACAGAGATGGGGAAAGAGCAAGCTTAAAAACTATTTTAAGGACCCCTAATGTATACTGGCCATCCAATTTCGCTTTTAATCTCCCCGTAATAACAAATATGTCAGCAATATTCAATGAACTAGTTCCAAAGACAATGACTCTGCTTTTCACGAGTAACACATAGTCACTGGCAACTTACAGCACTTAAGGATCATTACCAACCATATGTTTCTGAAATTTCCAAAATTAACGGATCCAATGCGTACAACTGCTTTATGTCCTTCCTGCATCCTCCAACATTTCTGATGGATCAAAGCTAATTTCTGCAACATTCATCACAGCCTTTGCCCCTGCAATTCAAAGAGTGAGCTGAAGGGTACAAGCCAGTTAAAAAAAGATAAAAAGAATAGAAATGATGTCTTTTAGTTTTTTTTTTTTTTTTTTTTACACATCACTTTTTAAAATTTTGAAAGGTGTACTCATTGGGCAATTTTTTTCACTAATTACCTTCACATTTGCACAAGGCAGACAGGTGTCCAGTGCCAAGTAGTCTGCTTTTCTCAGGCCATTACCAAGAACATGTCCACACACTGGCCAATAAATCATAACGGGTCCCTCTAACTGCGGCCCGGTGCAGGCTACGCCATTTCATTCAAAATGTGGCTTCGGCTGTCAGGCTCGCTTATGGGTTTGATGGACGGTGCCGCAGATGGCGTTTTGTAGTGGTAATGATTAAGGTGTGGTTGTAAGCCACACTGGATTGGGCGAACCAGGCAGAGATTCCATTCCTGATTTATAGGCTGTCTTTTTCCAATTACACTTTGACAAGGGTTTGGATGGCATATATACAAAACGCAATAGATCAATCTTTACAGTCTTTCTTGGTCTATTTCTTCTCTGAAATCAAAATGAAAAATGGAGGTCTCAAAGGCATCAAGACAAAATGCAGCAGGAGATAGACAAAAGCAATTATTCTCCCCCGCTTATAATATACCTATCAGTGATGCAAGATCCAGAATAAAAATGAAATGTTTCAGAGGGATTTCTTATTGCAGCAGTTTTTCCCGTCTACCTCACTAGCCAACGGTGCTCCTGTTACAAAATCAATCCTAAGTACCGTTGAGAATGGCAGACCTTGATTCCAAGGTCAAACACAAGTTTGAACAGGAGTCTTCCTCGGGAGAATGGGAAAAGCTGATGAAGGCTATACAGATTCCTTCTGGTCAGAGGGGACTGAGATGGACAAGCCGTGGACAGACGACTTTTTAGCAGTACAGCAAACCATCATTCCCACTGCTCTGTTTTGCCTCCTGAAATCATCACTGTAGTCTGTTTTTTGGAAAAGGGCATATCATGACTTATTTCATCCTATGCATCACAGCCAAAAGAACAGCATGATGGAGTCGGACCAGTCGGACACTAATATATACTCTAGAGATACACAGACTTAAAATGGCAGCCCAGTGGAAGAGTTGATGTCCCCTTGTGAAAACGGGGAAAAACATCCAAATAAATGAAAGCTATTTTATGAGCAGAAGAATATTACGGAAGACTCTCATAGTCTGACAGCATAAAACCATTAATTTAGAGGTTTCTCATTTAGCAAAAACTTAACTGGAAATTGATTGGAAATTAAACTGCAGTTTTATAGTCTATTGTTAGGATCTTGCAGTAGATTTTAAATGGTATATTAGTTTCCATATACAGCCCATTAAGACAGTGTTGCATGTCTGTTATCATCCAAAAATTGAACTGTACAATTATTTACAATTGTAATAAATTACAATGCATTTCCAAGGTTGCTGGTTTGAAACAAACCTCACATTTTCAAAAACTTCACTTCTCCAAGATAGGGTAAGCAGTTTAAGGGATCTGATAACTCTAAAACATGTTTTAGGACGTACAGATCTTCTGTCCAAGATGTGCCATGCTTCCTGTTAGCTTAATCCTGGTCAGTTGTGGTCCTTTTTTGTTGGGTGTTGCCCCAGAGAGAAACTCAGCCATGCCTTGGCCCAACAACACCGATTCTAACGCAACTTGGCTGAAGCTATATGCCAATTGTCCATGTATAAGCAAGCATACTAAACCAACCGATAGCTAATAGATGAATGTTTGTAGACCACTTTGCATTTGTCTGCTTTACCACCTTCAGGATTTTTTTTTTCCGGTAGTACTCATACATCAGAAGGTATTCAACATTGCTGCCCCCGCTTAAATATCTGAGCCATCTGAAATGTTTACTCCCAGTAACTGACCTTAGAATAACATTACTGGACACTAGTGTACACACACTGAGTTAGGGCTCATAAATCAAACTGGCCGGGACAAAGCTTGGAGTAGAACAGCCACAGATTAATGGTGCAGGTGTGAGCCGTGAGCGGGCCGGACCCCCGACCCCGGCAACAGTGCCTGACCCATCTTTCTCCCACTTCTGTTTGAACGGCGGTGCAACTTTGTGTTTTAGAATACTGGCTTGATTAGATAACATGATTATAGATTTCCAATACCTGCTAGAGAGTCACTTCCATGAATTACATTCCAATGTAGTACTGAGGAAACCTAACCCAAAATTTCCCCTTATTCATTTTTAAATAAATTATATTTTGTATATTTGTGATTATATTTATATGTGGCACATTCCAGGAGGTATGATGTAAAACAGGCACTTTGTGATGTTTTCCTCTGCTAATAAAAAAGGACAGATCAGTACATCCGGATCAGCAGAACTCTGGTTATGATTACGCTCACTCAAACCTGAGAGGCCGAAACGCCAGCTTCATACTCTGGCTAGTCTTGCGTGGCCAAACTATATGGAATGAATATGAGGCTTTGCTTGCACACAGTGCTATAAAAGCAGCAGATGTACTCTACTCAGTCCCACTGACTGACGGTAACAATCCATCTAGAACGCGTCCTGCATGTGCAGAGAAGCTCAATTTCAATTGGCAACATCATTTTTCCCGGAAATTAGACATCCAAAAGTTTTGAGATGTTCAACCCAATTGTTATGCTTCATTTATTTTAATGTTGGATATCACTACTGAAAAATCTAATAGCACTTGCCATAGAAAGGTCTCGCCTGCTTTTTTTATTTTACTTATCTTTTACAGTTGTTGTGATGAAGCTATCACTGATTTAATGTTGCATCACATTTAATGACCACCTGTTTAATAAGCATCCCTCACAACTGCAACTCCAGGATATGCCTCACACAGAGAAAGACATGATTTATCGATTCTTATTCCGAATATCACCCAACACAACAACAACAGCGCTGATGACATTTTTGCTGCATTTCTAAAGAGTAAATTAATATCTAAAGAGAGTAAATTAGAGTAAATTAATACTCCAGAAACATAATATAAGCAATTTTCCATTATAGTACCTGATCTTAGTAACAACCTTCTCACAGCAACCTTCTTTTCCCATAGTGGTAGTTAAAGGAACAGACTAAACATCTTTGCATAACAGACTAAACATCTTTTCATGAATGACTTTATATTAACTAATGCCTCTGCTGCTTTTCAGAATGTAACAGCAAGAAGAAACAGACCTGAATGCTGTCCTGCCACCTGCACAACAGAAATATCAACTAGGGCATTATTTTATCAGCTTGAAGTCATGCCGTCAGACTTTTGCCATTCCCTGTCCACTTTAATTTTATATCTTTTTTTTGTAGGCTAAAGTGTGTCATTACACCATGTATTACCATAAAAAGTGCTATACATTAGCACCCACTATCACAGCAATCACAGCATACTGCTCCCATGTAAATCATTTGCATAATAATTTAATCCACCCTCAAACCGTTCTTCCAGAATGACTCAACATAGCTTCAGTTTGGTACATTAATACGACTGGATGTTTTATGAAG